TGTATAAATTTTTCCGTGATTAGGAGCTGACGGGTTGCAGCAGTCCATTCCATTATTCAAAATAAGCTATTTCTTAATGTTCACGCGTAATTCGATATTTAGGTCCTTCGTTTCTCCTCTAATATGCGTTGCGGAACATATTGACTATAAAACTTTTGTTTCTCTCTTAATAAGCTTTCGAATGAGGTACAAGGTATATATCTATAATTAGGGGCTAAAGGGTCGCAGCAGTCCATTCCATTATTCAAAATGCCCATTTCATTATTCAAAATTGGCTATTTCTTAATTTTCACGCGTATTTTGGCATTTGGTCCTCCGTAACCCCTCTAATGGTCATTGCTGAACAACCGACTTGTTATATTTATAATTAGAGGATGAAGAATAGCAAAGGTCCAGTGAAAATAAAAAAAGACTACATGGAGTATTTTAATTTATATATATATATATATGTTTTGGTATTCAGGTCGTCCATACATTGAACCAAGGAATTTCTGTTAAAAATAGTTAGGCAAACCCACTAGTTTATCCTCCGAAACTAGGAACCAGATAAATAAATCAAATTAAAATTTAAAGAGTGTTTTTATTTATTTTTTTCTGATATCAATTTGAATATTTGTTAGATAACACCAAAAAGACTAATTTAGAAATACGGGATATAGCTATAGTGTCACAGTCAAATTTTTTATTTTTATTTCACTATTCACCGCTTCAACTTGAATAATGAAACATAAATTATTTCATTATTCATTATTCGTCACTTAACATTGAATAGTGAATAGTGAACTATTTCATTATTCATTATTGAATTTTGAATAATAAAAAATGAATAATGGACGTACTTCAGCGCGGTGAAATATTTCATGGAAGCCATAGATTTGTTGGAAATTTAAACATGGCCTGGGCCGTGATGTTCGAATTTTATCCTGATCGTTAATGAACCATGATAAACTTTGATTTGTCAGAAGTAGTAATAAACTGCAAGGCCAGAATTATTACCCTAGCTTCTGCACTAAAGATGGATGCAGCAGGAGGTAAGCGGAGAGTTGCAGCTCTGTCACCAAAGACAGCAGCAGACGACACCCTGTTTCCATCCTTCGATCCATCAGTATAAACAGTTGAAAAATCAAATTTGCTGGTTTTTATTTCAGCATAACTTTTCTGAATCAAAAGAGGATTTGTTTCGGCCTTATTGTATTTACGGAGATCAAATATCATTTAAGGTTTAGGAAGTTCCCATGGGGATATTTACAAGTTTAAACAGGAGCCATAGATTTCAAATCAAAGGCATTTAAATGTGGTTTTAAACGAATTCCTAATGGAAGAATTTATTTTTATGTTTTTCAAAAATGTCTTCATAAATGGGATTGAAAACACAGTTGTAGGCAGGGTTTTCTGGAAATGCCATTAGCTTGACAGCATACTGAATTTACCTGACTGTTTGTGCCATGACAGCAATCCAAAATGAAAATTAATACCTGTTCTGAGGTATAATATCCATAAATGGGGATACTACCCATTGATGAGGATCCTCTTCAACCTGTTTAATGGGGTTGTGTCACATGTGTAGAGGTATGTTGAGTATGTGGGATTTTAACAGTTAAAATTTGGTGATAAATTATGTTTTGCAACAAGCTTCTTAGAGTGATATCGTTTATACGAATGACAGGTTTGTTGGGTTGTCCTTCAAGTCTTTCTCGTTAGCATGCTAGACTTATTGATAATATGTATAGTTTGTGGCAAAAAAGTGTTTCTTTTTTGTTTTTCTGCATTGAACTTCGAAACGGTTCCGTACTGATCATTCTAAGGCATGGCAAACGATAGTATCATATCTACTGCTATTTATGGAGTTAATGTATGAAACATTCTACCGATGTAAGGAGTGAAGGACGGCATGATTTGATATTAAAGTTAAGTACCTTTCCTGTGCTGCGACCTATTTTACGAAAAAAAAAAAATTTACGAGAAAAAAGTATTTACTAATGATGCACTTTTGAGTATAACTTTCGATCATTTTTGTCTTAAGGTTTTTTGTGAAAATGGTCCCTGATTTTTTTATGTTCTTTTATGTAACTTTTGTGAGTTCACTGGTCGAGATTAAATCTTAAAAAATCAGTTTGATCCTGCCACATGTTCATGTGCCTGTGCCAAGTCAGGTATCGCATCCGTAGTTATGTCTTATGTTTGGGATAAGCTAAAGCTTGTTATATCGTAAAGACACCTGCCTGTTTTTTTTTACATATACCTCATATCTCCTTTATTTATGTTAAAACGGTAGATTAAAAGATGACAGACTAAAAGGATGACAATTACAATAATTCTCGTTTTTTTAATGTTTTAGTTTATGAGGGTATATTTTAACTAGAGGCTCTAAAGAGCCTGTGTCACTCACCTAGGTCTATGTGCATTTTTATCAATGGACACGCTCTAATATGGAAGACTAGAATATAAGTCATCTCTTTTTTGTTGATCTTGTATTGCTGATAATTTTTTTCTGATTATAGTTTCTCTTTATCTTCTATAGTGTTTGCCCAAAACACAAAATAGGGTTAAAATTTTGTCCTTAACGGCTGGGTAATAACTGAGACAACTAACAATTATAATATATGCTGACCTTTTTGCAGATCTTGTTTTGCTTATCCTTTTTCTTTTAAAATTTCTATTATCAGTTACATTTTTCAACAAAATAAACAAAACAAAAACGCAAGCAAATTGGTAAACATTTTCATTTAAGGGCGTTACTCCTTTAAAGAGTTGACCAATTCAGCAATATCAACTTATTTGTAGATCTTGTCTTGTGGATCATTTTTGCTATTTAAAGTTTCACTTTATCTATCATAATAGGCAATTACTCAAAAACTGGTAAGAATCATTATTTAAGGGCAACAACTCCTGTAAGGAGTCACCCAACAATTTCTGCCATGTTGGCTTATTTGTATATCGTCTTGTTGTTCATTGTCGAGCCTGCGACTTTTGTCGCAAAAGCGAGACATAGCGATCCTACATTCCGTCGGCGTCCACAAATATTCACTCTGTGGTTAAAGTTTTTGAATTTTAAATAACTTTCTTAAACTATCCTGCATTTCAACCAAACTTGGACAGAAGCTTGTTTATAATCATAAGATAGTATCCAGAAGAAAATTTTGTAAAAATAAAATCCTGTTTATCCGTACTTAACTCATATAAGGACTTAGTTTTTCTGCCAGTTAACATAACATTCACTCTGTGGTTAAAGTTTTTCAAATTTTAATAACTTTCTTAAACTATCCTGGATTTGTACCACACTTGGACAGAAGATTGTTTGTGATCATAAGATAGCATTCAAAAGTAAATTTTGTTAAAAAAAATTCCTGTTTATCCGTATTTTACTTATAAATGGACTTAGTTTTTCTGCCAGTTAACATTACATTCACTCGGTGGTTAAAGCTTTCAAAATTTTGATAACTTTCTTAAACTATCCTGGATTTGTTCCAAACTTAGACAGAAGCTTGTTTATGATCAAAAGCTAGTATCTAGAAGGAAATTTTGTAAAAATATATTTCCTGTTTTTCCGTATATTACTTATAAATGGACTTAGTTTTTCTTCGAGTTAACATTACATTCACTCTGTGGTTAAAGTTTTAAAAATCTTAATAACTTACTTAAACTATCCTGGATTTGTACCAGACTTGGACAGAAGCTTGTTTATGATCAAAAGCTATTATCTAGAAGTAAATTTTATAAAAATTTATTTCCTGTTTTTCCGTATAAAACTTATAAATGGACTTAGTTTTTCTTCGAGTTAACATTACATACAGTCTGTAGTTAATGTTTTTAAAACATTTATTAGATTCATAAACCATTCTGGATTTTTACCAAACTTGGACAAAAGCTTCTCACAATCAAAAGATAGTATCTATAGGAAAATTTTTAGTAATTTTTTCCCCATTTTTGTTAAGCCTGTGACTAGCAGCAAAAGTAGGCGTGACACTGGGTTCCGCGGAACCCTTACATACTTTTATTATAGGGCAATAACTCCAATAAGGAATCGACTGAAGATTTTAGATATGTTGACTGAATTGTAGATCTTGTCTTGCTGGTCATAGATATAGGAAGATGTGGTATGAGTGCCAATGAGACAACTCTCCATCCAAGTTACAATTTATAAAAGTAAACCATTATAGGTCAAGGTACGGCCTTCAACACGGAGCATTGGCTCACACCGAACAGCAAGCTATAAAGGGCCCCAAAAAATTACTAGTGTAAAACCATTCAAACGGAAAAACCAACGGTCTAATCTATATAAAAACGAGAAACGAGAAACACGTATGAACTTCATAAACAAGCGACAACTACTGTAATCAGATTCCTGACTTAGGACAGGTGGAAACATTTGTCATATTTGCTAAAAGAAGATTCTATCCATCTATTATAGTTTTCATGATAATAGGCAAAAACGCAAAAAAATGATAAAAATCGTCATCAGTGGGCAATAACTCTAATAAAAAATTGACTGACGATTTAGAACTAGTTGACTTATTTGTAGATATTGTCTTGCTGATCATATTTGCCAATTAAATTTTCTCTCTTTATATTATAGTTTTCCCAATAATGGACAAAACAAAAAATTTCGGTAAAAATCTTGATTTAAGGGCAATAACTCCTATCGTCTGAAGTTTTGATGTAAATTGATAATAGGTAAAACTCTACCTATCACGGGTTTCAAGACAATAGCCAAAACAATTATTTCACCCCTATGTTCTATTTGTAGCCATTCAGTCGGCCATCTTGGTTAAAAGGCAGGGTAATCGGACACATTTTTTAAATTAGATACCCCAATGATGATTGTGTCCAAGTTTAAATTGGTTAAATTTGGCTAAGCAGTTTCAGAGGGGAAGATCTTTTTAAAAGTTAACAGACGACGGATGACGCTGACAGACAACGGACGCCAAGTTGATGGCAAAAGCTCATACTGGCCCAAAGTGCTAAAAAACTAGAGGTTTTTTTATAACAAGAACACAATATCGATGTAGATCTTTATACAGAAAAAATATACATAATTTTATATTTTACAATATGTTCAAAACCTCTTTAATCAAAATCAATTAAAATCTGAAAATTCAATAATTGGGTTTTGCTCTTTAATCCAAAGTATTGAAACTAACGGGTAGATTTTTGAAATGTTTTCATATACACTATTTCCAGTTCTTTTTAAAGATAAATATATGTAAGTAATCATGATAAAGGAATATAGATATAGCGTGCCGATGTGTCAGTAATCACATATTTACAAATACTGATACGATAACCATCTTTAGTCGAGCATTTTGCAAAAGTGTTGATCACTATCCAAATATACTACTCTTTGATGAAGGAATATTCTTCAGAAGACAGAACATTCTGAGCATGATATAAAAATACAATACCACATAACCGATATTAACAATAAGTGCAAATCGTACGTTGCATGTAAGTGGTTCATAATCACAAGGATTAGAACATGCGTTTGAACATTTCCTAAAATCGCCTGTACCACCGCACCATTTTCCGTATGAAGATTTACAACACTCGCTTGGGTCATCGCAGCCTTTTCCGTCTAAACATTTGCATTCATCGCTGGGTTTTCTGGGTGTTCTGGGTTGTCTGGGTTTTCTGGGTTTTCTTTCTGGACATTTCCAACAAGTCCCATCAGTCCCATCGCAGCAATTTCCGACTGACCATTCGCAACATCCGAGTGTCACAGCGCATTTTCCGTCTGAACTGTTGCAACTTCCGCCTGTCACACCACAGCATTTTCCGATTGAACACTCACAACATCCGATTGTCCCATCGCAGCATGTTCCGTCTGAACATTTACAAAGTCCACTTGTCACATCGCAGCATTTCTGTCCTCCTCCTTGGGGATCATCAGGGTCAAAAAGCTTAAGTGGGCAGTAGTGGAAATTACAAAATCCACATAAGGAAAGCTTGTAAGACCATGGTTCGGTAGAGCATTTGCCCTTATCTATGATGCATATCTTTCCACAAATACCACACAACATGAGGGATTCGTATCTGCAAAAGAAAAATGTACACTGCCTTACACAAATCTTAAACCTTGCATTGTCACCAATGTCAACATTAAGATATGATAGTTGTATGTTATTTAAGTTATTTAACATATACTAGTAGATCAAATATATGGAAAATATGGTATAACTGTTAGTTATACATTGGTTTACGTCCGTCCGTCCCATAAGTTTTGGTCGCACTTTTCTCCGGAACTACTAACGAGAGTTTCACGAAATTTAGTTATATGCTTGATGTTAGCATACTACACTGTGTGTTGCATTTTTAAATTTCTTGCTCATCACCTTCCTGTTTACCGAATAATCTTATGTTCTTACAAATAATGCATATGGCCATTTTCGTCGCATTTTTCTCAAATTTTGAAATGAATATTCAAGTGAGCACACTTTACTAAGTGATGCTTATTACATCCACACTCGTCTACTACCTGTTTACCGAATACTTATAACGGGGAAATCATTAGTGATCAATAACTCACAGTCCCTCTTATTTAAATTGGGTTTAATTTAGTATATGTAAGAGAATGATAATCCCTTTCTTCATGATTAAGTACGAGCGTTAGCGAGTACTTATCGTGAAGTAAGGGATTATCATTCTCTTACAAACTTAGAATATTGTAAAAGTGCTCAAGGCTCAAATGATCTATTGAAGAATTAGTTTCAATTGTTAGTGCAATGTTTATAATTGATGCATGACTTCCTTTTTGGGCATGTCATTCATGGATTAGTTTTACTGATGTAAGGACTTTCATATCATTTGGGAAATAATTTTTTTTTTAAAAAGCGTTATAGATATTAGGTGACACAACAGTAGAAAGAAGAGGTAGGAATTGGATATGTTTCTTGATTGTGAGTATGAATGTAAATCATGTAATATTTTAGTGAGGAATTATCCTTTTTTTATTTACAGTTTAAATCAATTAATATGTTTGAGTTTACAACTAAATTTTATTTCACAGCCAATATTTTGGTCCGGCCTTTTACATCAAATAATACTTCATTATTTCAGGGAAATGTTCAAAAATGTTCAAAAATAATGCCTTTAAAAGTTTTTAATATGTTCAAAATTAAATTCCTGTTTTTTTTATCGGAATACTGGAAATAAATATTCTTTCCAACCACTGATCAAGTAATTAAAGTTTTGGAAAGCTAAAGATTTAGGTTATTTTTTTATCTGAGAGATTTTTTTTCTTTTTTTGCTTTGCTTTGGTATTGTTTAATTTTTTTTAGTAATTTGAAGTTATTAATATTCACGGTACAAATTTTACTGCACCAGTAAACTTCAACTTATTTTGAGATTTTTGTTTGTTTCACAATTGAACTTTTAGTCAGTTTCAATCACTGTGTGATAAATCCTTCCAATCTGATAAATGTGCTTCGGGGCAGTTGTAACTCATTTATAGAAACTCTTTGTTTTGAACTGTAAATAGACCCAAATAATAGAATAATCCCTTACTAAGAACATGATTTACATTCATTCTTCACAATTAAGAGGCATCCAATCCTACAATTTCATTGGTCGAGAGCACTTTGCTATATTCTAATTCTTATAAGGCAAGAATCTAGCAATCTGATTGGTTAATTACCCAGATGTGAAAATACCCCACCCAAGTTCATCCAGGGATAATTTTTTGCCAAAATTTCCCAAAACAAAATTTTAAATGTGAATAAAGAAAAAGAATTAAAAAAAAAGCAAAAAAAAATAAAATCCAGGAACATTCTTTGAACTGAAAAAAAAATCATTATTATGTAAACTATGGAATGTTTAATTGTTATGTTTCAATATTTTGTTAAAAGTTGTACATTTAGCTTTCATCATTTTTTTATTGAAATATGGGTGTTTTATTTAGATAGTAACATTGGACTTTTTTCCTAGAAAAAATGATTTCACAGACTCTTAAGATGCTTATAATTTCTTTTAAAAATTTTACTATTGAAGTAATAATTATACAAATTTAAATAAATATTAATTTATGTATATAGAATTGAATTTTTGTTTAAAGGCCTTTTACCAGAAAATTTTTATAACAAGGACTTTTGTGAGGGTCTCAGGGATCTCTAGACCTGTTTTATGATTTCGCACAGCCATCGTTAAAATATCTTCCGCCACCATCAAATGATCCCCGCCATCGTTAAATTATCTGACCGCCTGGATGAGGGGTCCTTCATTTCTTTTTTTTTTTTTTTTTTTTTATTATCATTTTTCTCTATTCTTTATTTTAATGCATATTTTTCTCTATTCTTTGATTTTTCCGACCTTAATTCTTCACTTTTTGTCCATTGCTCTCTATTTTTTTAAACCCATCCAGATCCTTTTATAACTAGGAAATTAGGTTTTTTCATTATTCAAATAATTAATATTTCTTATAATTTAGTAATTTTCAGAAAAGTTGGATACACATTTGAAAATTACCCTAAATATGCATTTAAAATTGTCCATGACCATACTTTTACTAGAAAAGTAAGTCTCAGGAAAATTTTACTTGGAAAATAAGTGCCAAATATTTTTTACTAGCTTTTGTCCTAGGGAAATTTATCCTGTGACTTACTTTTCTAGTAAAATTAGGATCATATTCCAAACCATATGATACCTCGTCATAACTTCACTATAACATAGCACTCGACAAATAATTTATTTAATACATTTAATAGATTGTTCATTATCTATGAACAATTATTTGATATTGTTGGGAAGGAGAGATTTTGGAAATGACTATTCTGATCTAGTAAGTATTTGAAAATAACCTTGTCAAAGACAGGATTAAAACGAATATTCTGCCCACCAAAATGCAACAAATAAATGTGTATAGATGTGAAAATTTGCGCGTCAAAGCTGGACAGGTAAAAATGAATATACCGTAAAAAAATTTCCTTCTGCCCCTCCTTTTCTCCCAGAATATCAAATGGGTATACCCTTAATCGAATATTTACCATAAATAAATTCATAAAACATTCTTGCTATATCTGTTACTTGCAGAACATACAAAAGATAAACATACCGAGATGAACAGCAAAAACATGGACAGAATCCAGTCCCATCAGTCCCATCGCTCCCATCGCAGCAATTTCCGATTGACAATTCGCAACATCCGAGTGTCACAACGCATTTTCCGTCTGAACTGTTAGAACTTCCGCCTGTCACACCGCAGCATTTTCCGATTGAACAATCACAACATCCGATTGTCCCATCGCAGCATGTTCCGTCTGAACATTTACAAAGTCCACTTGTCACATCGCAGCATTTCTGTCCTCCTCCTTGGGGATCATCAGGGTTTACAAGTGGGCAGTAGTGGAAATTACAGAATCCACACAAGGAAAGCTTGTAAGACCACGGTTCGGTAGAGCATTTGCACTTATCAACGATGCATTTCTTTCCACAAATACCACATAATATGGGGGATTCGTATCTGCAAAAGAAAAATGTACACTGCCTTACACAAATCTTAAACCTTGCATTGTCACCAATAGGATATAATATTTCTTAATATCATCATTAAGATATGATAGTTGTAAGTTATTTAACATATACTTGTATATTGAATTTATGGAAAAACATGGTTTATTTGTTTATAGTTATACCCAGTTCCGAAAGGAAATTCTTTAATTTTTCTGACCTTTATTCTGCACTTTTTGTCCATTGTTCTCTATTTTGTAAACCCCATCCAGATCCTTTTGTAAATAGGAAATTAGATTTTTTCATTATTCAAATATTTTATATTTTTTTATAATTCAGTCATTTTTAGAAGAGTTTAATACACGTTTAAAATTACCCTAACAAAATTTATCCTGCGACTTACTTTTCTAGTAAAATTATGGTCACGGACTTGATTATCTATGAAACAAAATTTGGAGGACAATTTTATTTCCAGACTGTTGAGCAAATACTTGTAGAGCTATATGACAAAAATAAACCTAAACTGAATATCCCAAAACATATGATACCTTGTCATGACTTCATTTTAACATAGCTCTCGATAAATAATTTAATACATTTAATAGATTTTTCATTATTTATGAACGATCATTTGATATTGTTGAGGGAGGGGAGATTTTGGAAATGACTATTCTGGTCTAGTAAGTATTTAAAAATAACCTTGTCCAAGACAGGATTAAAACGAATATTCTGCCCACCAAAATGCAACAAATAAATGTGTATAGATGTGAAAATTTGCGCGTCAAAGCTGGACAGGTAAAAATGAATATACCGTAAAAAAATCCTTCTGCCCCTCCTCTTTTCCAAGAATATCAAATGAATATATACCCTTAATCGAATATTTACCATAAATAAATTCATAAACCATTTCAATATCTGTTACTTGCAAAAAGTACAAAAGATGAACATACCGATAAAAATAGCATAAACAGGGACAGAAGCATTTAAGGAGAGTCCAAAAACAATCACCAAACTTTCCTCTAACGCCGCTAAAACAATCAATTGACTTTTTGGGCTTTTTGGACTTTGGTTTAGAACTGCCAGAACAAACAACACACTTTCCTCTAGCGCCGCTAAAACAATCAAGACACTTTCCTCTAGCTACACTGCAACATCCACAAGTCGAGTTATCGTCCTCAACGTCTTCTTCGCAACATTCAGAGCATGTTATATAACGAAAAGCATTGTTCAAAAGTGCAATACCACCATTAACGGCAGCCCAAATACGCCGTTTGAGTCGTTTACACTTTAGAGTCTTGCTATAACTCGGTAAGCATGCTTCTTGGTACCTAAGGAGAAGAATTCCTTGTGGTATTTCTATGAATAAAACGGAATAAAGAGTTTCTGTCCTACCATCCAGTATTTTTTTAGGAGTGCCATCGTTATCTTCGCTCACTTGCTTTTTCTTCTTAAGATACTCAACCTCGCTGTAAATCTGGAAGATGATATTTGCAAGTTGGATTAACGACAGAACTGTTCCCGCTATTGTAAAGTACATAAAATGCTCACCAACATCACTCTTACTTTGGCAAAACAAAGTGGTGTTCGATTCTGGTGGTAAACTCTCAGTCGATTGTTGTAGTGCACCTTCTGGAGGGATATTTGTTAGCCCAAAAAAAAAGCTTTGTCGCCGTAAAAGTAGTCGCCAATAACTGTCTGGCTGATCTCTTTGGGGCAGCAAACTTTTGACTTCAGGTATAATATCTAACGGCGTTGTAATAATTTGGTAATACTGCAACCAGTCAAAAACACAGTCCGCAATAATTAATATTGCTGAGCAGACCCTGGTAATGATAATACGAATTGAATTGCGTTTTGTTTTTCGAGGCTTATCACCACTAGATCCTTCTTGATCCCCGTCCACTGAATGTTCCAATCTGTCCATTATTTGGATTGATGGTTGTTTGCTCATATGTCCTTCATCTACAAACGCTGTTTCCATCTTTTCCCTTGATCTTGTTCTCTCTCGGGTCCCTTTCAATGTAGGAGATGATGGTTGCCTGACAATTGGTCCCGGAATAGATGGGTTAGCCATACTTAATCGTGGTATTGCCTGTGGGCTGCTACGTTAATATGAATGGTCCTTTCTGTCCAAGGGATATCAGTCAACTGATTGACTTGGTGGCGGTTTGTGCATTTATCCTTCATTTACAAGTTATTCCGGATAGAAGAAAACTTCCGCAATGAAACTGAAAGACCTTTATCTATGATACACACATATTTTTTTACTTCTGACTTTCCTCCTTTTATAGATTTCAAGATAATAGGCAAAAATCGGGAAAAATCGTCATTAAAGGGCAAAAGCTTCAATAAGGAGTCAACTGACGATTTCTATCATGCTAATTTATTTGTAGATCTTGTCTTGTTGATCATTTTTGCTATTTAAAGTTTCTGTCTATCTATTATAATTTTCGAGATAATGATCAAAAATGAAAAAAAAATGAAAAAAAAATCGTTGTTTAGGGGCAATAACTCCTATAAGACTAAGACGGTTTTAATCTGACGGTTTTAATGTTAAAGACATTATGTAGATCTCATCATTTTGAACATTTTTGCCACGGTTAAATTTTCTCTATCTATGGCGGTTTTCACTTGATAATAGACTGTTTTAGGGATTTCGAGCAGGGTAAGTCCAATTCATTATGCACAAGAACTAAATCCTGATATATTTATATATATAAAAATGTAAAAAAATATCAAATCTAAAGATTTAAAATACTGATTTCACATGTTGCCTGAATATTTGAAGCCCACTGTTTAAAGAAATGAAGTTCTATCAACGTTTCCATTTTCGGAATTGCTCTATCAGATAACCTGTTTTCTCTTTCTCGCTTCTGCGTACTACTGCTGGTGTATCAAGACCTCTTAATTTCCAATACGTGGTGCAAGAAACACAAATATACATGGATGTGCTGAATACAATTGCTCAGAAATGATTCCAAGAATAGTGACTTATCTTTATTTTACCTGTGTCACCTGTAAAATGAATGCGCGCAAACGTAAAGAAATTATAATTCCCAAATGCGCGCAAATGTAATGCGCCATATACATATATAACGGTTAAAGTTATATTACTCTCAATTAAGGTTATCAAATCTAACTGGCGATTACGTGGGGTTAACTATATATGATGAACAACATTCTCAGTATAAAAGTTTCGGACATAAGGTTTTAAGGGGGGACGTTCACAAGGTGTAGTTATGCTAAAATAGACCAAGTCCAATAATAAAGTGACGGTGTAGTATACGGTAGATACACATGATAACAAACAAACTGGCCAAATATGAACGTTTTTGAACATATTGTCTCAGAGGAATAACGTTCACAAAGTTTCATTATACTACAACGGGCCAAAAATGAACAAATTCAAATAACAAACTCGAGCAAAATTATCAAATGAAATGAAAGTATGGTATGGTTATAGGGCTTATAATGATAAACACTCTTAACAAATGGCAAACCACCTCAGAGAAGTACTGTGTTACGGGTGTCGCGGTGTAGCGAGGGAAACTAAAATGATAATAACACTTTATGGGTTTTGGTGCGTCCGATAGTGAGGTGCCCAGTGTCAAAAAGGCCTCTAGTTAACGAGTTTAAGTTAACGGAATAAAACACGGCTAAATTTACTTGCAAAGTTATAGGAAAACCATTATATTTTACAATCATGATCGTCGTCGTACTAACTTTCCGTGTTCACGATTTTTTCAAATTTCGTGTTTTTACAGGGTACACCCAGATACCATATTGTACGGATAATCTTTAACTTGAAAAATAAAATTATTGAGCTCTTTGTTGGTGGTTGAAGTTATAGTACTTAGAATATAGTTTATATATTAAATATATCATATAACAAAAGAGGAAAATATCTAAGTATAAGCTAAGTTTAAGTATTTCAGCATTTTAATAAGACTAAAATATGACCCGAAATTAACCACATTTTCATCGAAAGTAAAAGTATCACGTTTACCACCAAAAGATTGTTTATTCTGATTAAAGCAATAACACACAGTTCACGGGTGTGCCAAATTTCATGTTTCATATTTGTCGTTGTGAAAAAATTAGCAATTAAAAACACAAATTAAGTCAACATGTTTGCATTGATTCAACACGGATTATCTCGTGTCGAATCATTCTGTTGCTTACATTATTAGGTCATTAATTAGAACAGTCACTCAGTGCCTTTCTCATTTTTGCTTGTTGTATGGTTGATTTATTTGTATTAAATGATCAGTTAAGTTTATAAATAGTTGTTTTGTTCGTAGGAATATGTTTTGTGTCGGTTTTTCTAAACTTTAAACTTTTTATTGAATTGATTTTTTGGTTATAATTGTAGTATAAAAATCAAGTTGGTCTGTCTTTTTAAGACCCGGAATATGACAATCGTAATAAAAAAGAGCGACATAAGCAAAAATAGCCTTATAGAGACTATAGAAGCCCGGAAAGATCGAGCGAACCACAGCAGCCAATGAACTATGTGTGCCAAGCATGCATGTTCAATCTATCTGCCGTGTTTCAAATTGGTATTTTTATGTTGTTTTTTCTTTCTTTCTGTGAACAGAATGTATTCAAAACAGATCGATTCGCTAGATTCAAAATATATACACATGTAGTCACATATACATCATAGTAAAAGACAAGATAACTTGTGACAATTTCGAACGAAAAACTAACGGTATGATTTATGACAAAACAAAAAACAAAAAAAAGATATAACAAACAGCAACCAACGACTACAACTGAATCACAGGCTCCTGATTTTGGACAGGCGCATACAGAATGTGGTGGGGTCGAACATGTTTGTGAGCGTTTAACCCTCCCCTTACCGGGGACAATGGTGTAACAACACAACAAAAGACCAAACTGTAAAAAAACAGTTGAAAATGGCTTTACTCATCAACCCGTCATGAAGCAAACAACTAAAATAAAGACAAGAATCACAAAGTACTGATCTGAAAGTACTCACGGTTACTGAAATTTAGTGAAAAGACGTCATCAACAGTTTGAAAAAAGCATGACCATTTGCAATGTCAAAATATGAGTACATGAAACGACAGGGTTTAGGACCATAGTTTATCATAAATTTAAAGCAATAAATGATATCAAGTTATGTTTTAATTTTTCACACAAAAACAATTCAACAAAATCGATATAAGGTCCAATAAAATCATGTTCAATTAATACGGTGTTAAAATGATATCTTTTAAGAATAATTCTAATCATTAAGAATCTATACGTTTATTTAGATCGTATTCAAATGTACGTGCTTTATAAACATCATAACCGTAAAAAATAAGATGTGATATCCCGTTTTTTATAAGAATTCTGTAGATACAGCTTCAAAACAAAATCTCTGTATTTATGAAAGAATATAGTAGTTTATGGTAAGGAAATCCATGATTTAATGATTTACCAGTTATACATAAATTTCGTTCATTGAAATCTTAAATGTCACTACGGACATGCGCATAGCGAACGATCTGGGAAATAAACACACCATAAGAAGGTATCAAAGGAACATCATGTTCATGTCAGGCAAATGTCAAACTTTGTCAATATCATCTGTAAGAAACAATGACGATAATGATGATGACGACGTATAAGCTTTTCTTTGTCTGTAAGTTCTTTATAAATTATCGATAACAGCTGAATGGAAAGTTAGCTGCAGTCTATAGTTTTCCGAATTGCCAACAATATCTATGTAATGTGATTAGAAATGTCTAGTGGTGATATATATAGGTCTAAGTGCACACGCTGAAATGTCCAGCCTCCTTTACTGATCATGAATGAATTCATGTTGAAAGTCTTTTAGAAGTAGATAAAGTTGTAGAGGCATAAAAAGGTTATGCAACAAGTTTTACATTAAATAAGCATTATCGATGATCCATGTAAATGAGGTCACGGTCAAATGAATTCTGCCACAAAGACATGTACACCTTGCTATCATTCCATACACAAAATATATTTGATCCACTGCTTTTTGTATCTGACAAAAACTTTACCTTGTTCACTGATCCATGAAATGAGGTCGAGGTCATGTGAACCCTGTCTGACGTACATGTAGACCCAGTCTGACTAAAGGCAGCACCCACTTCAGACGGAAACTTCGTAACACAACACATCTATATAAGATCTGAAGCATCCAGCATTGCTTCTTTCAACAAAATGCTTCTTTTTGGTGTTTTAAAAAATTCACATTTAATTCACATATGCTGAATTGTAAAAGTTTAATTGAAATCACCAACAGGGTGATTAATACGATGTATAAATAAGCATGCAGGATAGGCGGGGAAACGAAAGTGACTCATTGAACCAGCATTCCAGAGGAAATATAATATTAATAAACATATGTAATCATTGCACAGGTAAAAGATCAAACAAAAAGACGTGACGATATTTTGGTGAAATCGATATATCAATGTTATTAAACACAATACATGTATGTGATTTATTTTTGTGCATTGAGTCAAGGATTTGTATAGTGAATACTACAAAAAAAAAAAAAATATCGAATCTTATATAAAAATAAAAATTTTAAAATTGAAATGGGTCATTAAGGTCACTGTTATTCAACAGCTGAATGAAAATTGTAAATGTGCACCCTATACGTACATATGTCAATCTCGAATCATATTTGCCATATAAATATCAAATTAGTCCTAAATATAGAAACTAAAGTTATAATCCTTTAAACTATTCGAATATATTTCGCTCTTAATGCATATATGTAGGGGAAGCAAGATGTCTAAACGTGACTATGCGATTTCCCTGAAATTTTATATTTGACCTATGACCCAAATTTAAGAAAGACATGATCACTATAGATATTCATACCAAAACATGTAAAAGACTACACAAACACTATTTTAAAATGTTGTTTCCATAGGTCTAGCGTTAATTATTTATCGTTTCCTGAAAAAGAGACACGAACTATGGGTAATGTTAAAGTCATCGTATTACAAAGGTCCGGTACGTTTCATATTATAACTTCAATACAAATGTAATTGCATTGGCAGATGTATAAGAATAAAACAAAAAATGTATATTTAACCCGCGCGACACGTTTCGGGGGACATAGAAATACCGGGCGTCGGTCTGTG